ACGTACGTACGTACCGTACGGTAACGGTACGGGGTAACGGTTTCGGGGACACTACTACACACCCCCCCCCCCTACCCCCCCCAAAAAAAAAAAAAACCCCTATGCTCCTAGTTCACAAAAAAAAAAGTGTAAATCCCCTTTAAAAAATATAGTTAAGGCCTAAAAAAATGACTAAGCACCCAAGGCCCTACTCTCTCGCTTACAAGCCCATTTGCTCTGTCTCTACGAATAAGAAGAAGAGGAAAAAGAAGATGACCTCCAATTGTTCGATGTGAAGCTTGTGTCTCACACACAGCCATACACAAACATACACATGGACCCATATGCTCGCTCTCTACATATAAGAAGAAGAAAAAGAAGAAGATGACATCCAAGTGTTCAATGTGAGGCCCCCTCTCTCTCACGAACTCATATTCTCTCTCTCTCTACAATATAAAAGAAGAAAAAGAAGAACATGTCCTCCAAGTGTTCGATGTAGTTCGATGTGGGACCTCTCTCTCATACACAGGCCCATATACTCTCTCGCGCGCACTCACACAAACAGATGCCCACCAAACAATCTGCCCCCCCCTCCCCCAAAGTTGTTTCTAGGTGGCCGCCTCTGTGTTTTTTAACACCGGTCTTCAGGATAGGAGACTTCGAAACCCCCACTTTAACCAAAGAGTCTGCCAACTCATTAGACTCCCTCCTAGTATGTTGGAACTTTATGTGTCCTAGTCGAAAGATCAGCAATTTCTTCAAATATATCAACTAGTCCCCTAGGGCATTCTCCTTTCCACTCATCCTAGCAAATAGTAAAGGCAAAATCCCCTTCACAAATGACTCTACTCCAATCAGGAGTTCACTTTCAAAGACCCACTAACAGAGCCCAAGCCTCAGCCTCTACCGAATTGTACCAATGCAATGGGGCCAAAGTAAGTTAGCAATGTTCTGCCACGGTCATCTCTCAAAACCCTCCTGACACCCGCCTAGGTTGCCTTTTGTAATTCTAACTTCCGTCAAAATTTAGCCTGACCGACCTATTGGGTCGTGGCAGTCAGCTATAGCAACTAGACTTTCCTTCTCTCTTGCATATGCCATTCACAATTTCCATTCTTGAAATTGTTGGTAGTCTAATCACAAATTGTGGTTTTGGTTTTCATCCTTGCTGTAACCAAGGCATTAACTTGCTCTCTCTTCTATCCTGTTCTTGGTTTCGACCATAGAAGCGTTTATCATTGTGCTTGATCCATGTCAGCCACAATACTGTAAGTCAAGTCAGCCCCCACAGGATAACACCTGCTTTTGGAAATGGCAGTGAATACCACTACAGCAATACTGCCTCAAATGAGGCTGGTAATGCCCAGCTAAGGTTATATGTTTAAGGCATAAGACCATATAGGGCTTGTCGTGGACAGTGTAAGAATAGATGGTTTACAATTTCCGGCCCTTGTTTGCATATTACACAAAATTTAGGGATAACCATACCTTTCTTCCTTAAGTGATCAACTGTTACCACCTTATCGATTGTGGCTAGCAAAGTGAGGCACTATATTTTTTGGGAGCAGGAATATGCCACAACTTGCTATCCACAGTAGTAAACCTCAATTGAGTATTCTGTACATTGGTTTTACATGAAATCCCCCTTGCTGTCAGCATCCAAGGAATAGAATCCTCTTTTTTGGGATTAAAGAAAAATTGCTGCAACTTTGAAAGCGAAGTAAACAACGCATCTACATTATCTTCCTTCAATTACGTTTTTAGGAATGTGGTTCATGAAGTATGAAACTCAAAACCTATCTTGTACTATTTCATACAATTTTGCATTTGGATTCAAGGCAATCGTGAAGAGGCCGGGCTATTCCTCCTCTAATAATTTGCTGTCAAGCTAGGGGTCCAACCAGAACCTTGCCTTCCTCTCATTCCTAACCTTAATTTTTAATATTCTGCATAAACTCCTGCCAGCAATTATTAATTCCCTTGCATGCACCTTATAAAGTGTTCCTATTGGACTGCATCTTCACAAAGCAATCTCCATCACCCTTGTCATATTTACTCACTGCCACCTGTACCCATAGGTGGTTTGTTTGGGTCCCCATCCTCCACCACCATTCAGAAAACAGTGCCTTATTTGTTCCTTGGTTTCTCCTAACTCCCAGGCCCCATTTGCTCTTTGGAATACATATCTCATTCCATCTAACAAGGTGCATCATTCTTTTGTTCAATGATCCACCCAATGGAAATTGTCGCATCCTTTTCTCAATGTTATTCGCAAATGAACTGGGTGAATAGGGACATTTATCAGGTTGGCAGATGACTATATGAGTGTTAGCCGTCCTGCTGTGGACAAATATTTTGTCTTCCAAACAGCCAGTTCCTTGCTACATCTCTCACTGATTCCATGTTGGTTTCCCACAAGAACAGAGCAACCCAAGGTATCTCTTATGCATTATGTCAACTCCACATCCAGAATAGATTGCTAGTTGTTATAATTGGCTATCTAATAGGGATCTCCCTATTAATTTTGTTTCAAACATATTGACACTTATACCTTAAGCAACTTCAAACAGTCTCAGTAGCAAACACAAATTCTTCATCTTTGCTTTGATGCATCAAAAAATAGAAGTGTATAATCTGCATACTTCAGATGGGTTACAATCGGTCCATAAGTAAAGGATCTAAATCCAAAAAACTTTCCAGCAGCATATGTTTGCTCCAAGATACCACTAAAAGACTCTAGTATGATTGTTAACACGATTGGAGACAAAAAATAGCTCTGCCTCTGGCCTCTGGCCTCTTGAGCTTCTAAGTAGCGTTCAGGAGATCCATTAATAAAGACCAAGAAGTAGATATCAGATGAACATCCCTCATCTAACTTCTCAATCTCTGGCTGATTCCCATAAGTTGCATAGTTTTGTCGAGATAAGCCCACTCTATCATGTTCTTTCTAAATCAAATTTATAGATCATCCTCAGCACCCTAGCTTTGTGCCTCGCATGCAAGCATTGATGAGCTCGAAGTGCTCAATCAAGGATTTATCAGAATGCTGCCTGTGGAGATGAAATAACTTCATGCAACACCTGCAATCTACTGGCTAGCACATCTGCTGATAGCTTATCCGCACTGCATAATAGGTTGAATGGCTGATATCCTTCACATCTTCCACCCGTACCCTTTTTGGGATTTTGGCAATACATGTAGAATTCATTGCCTTACTGATCTTTTCCCTTTCAAAGAAATCCTGAAACATTTGCATTACTTCAGGTTTAAGCAAATCCAAAATACACTAGAAAAAGGCTAATTGAAACCCAGAACTCTGCCGAGGCTGAAAACAAGATTTTGTTTATTTTACTTTTTTTTTGTATGGCTTCCTCTTCAAATGACCTCTCAAACCACTCTATTCTCACTCTCTTGATAACTTTGAACAGGGCCATATGGAAGAAGGCTTCTAAAAAACGCCCTTTTCTCAAAAAACTTCGAACAGAGCCGTAGTCAAGCTGTCATTGTCCGACTTAAGGGTTTGATTCTCACCCCTTAATGATTGAACTTCCTCTCTCAACTCCAAGAGCTGCGCATGGAATAATTTTTTAGTATGATCACCTTCTTAAAGCCATTTATTCTTGGAAGCCATTACATTAATCACAAGGAGTCCTCTATTGAAATCCTGGCTTGATTTCTTTTTTTGCATTCATATGGCACTAGCTGCATTTTGTCCATCAGCCTAACTATCTAGGCTATTTCAGCCATTAGCTTCTCAACCTTGCTTTGGATGCTGCCAAACTCTCCCCATTCCGTCTCTTTAAATTTGCTTTAAGTAGCTGCAATTTCTTACAGAGTTTATTCCCAGCCCACCCCTCTACCTTAAAAGAAGACCACCATTCGGTAATCAATCTTGGCAAAGACTTACCTGCATCCATGCCAGCTTGGACAGAAAGGGTGAAAGACCGAATCTACCCGAAAAGAAACTGTATATAGCACGATAGGCCATTGGTTAAATGTCAGTTTTGGGAAAACTTTCAAGCTAGATAATTAAAAATGGTCTCCTGGCCCGCAGAAATCAGAAAGCACTCAAAAAGCACTATGAATGTGAACAAACTATCAGCTCTAGATAATGGTCTCCCAGATTATGTCTATTAACGAATTGCTGGAAACCTTCCATACTCCTAATCCGTTTGTCCTCACTTCTCATAAACCCCCCTGAACAAACTAAACGCCACCCCCTGATACATCATAAAAAAATTTATTGGAAATTACCTCATATAATTCTTCCCAGAAATTCTCTCGAGTGTAGGCCTCCTGGAACACTACAATTCACTGACACTACACTATAGACCCTTCAAACATAACTAAAACGAACCACCTCACAATATTGCAACTAACCATTTCCAGAGATGGGAGGTCCGACATTGCAACTAAAAACTCATCATCATGTCCAAGAGAAAAGAAACTGAACGTGGATATAATCTCATCAGAAAACAAAAATCAGGGAGAAAAAAGAAAAAAAATAGGACCACATTGCCATCATATTTAGAGCTAGACAAACTATTACTACTCCCAATCTTAATGTTTGTATACCAACAAATGAATGGCACCAATAGGCCTCTTCTTTTGAATGTTAATTCAAACAATAAAAGAAAACATATAAATTTATACAATGACTTTGCATGCCCCAGTTGACATATGCAACAGTAGATAGGATCTCAACAAAAAGATAAATTGAAAAATAAAAGAAAGCCACATGTGTGTATGTGTGTGAGAGAAAGAGAGAGAGGTTGGGAACTACTGACCTTCTCTTGGCGCCTGAAGAGCTGCCAAGTTCCAAGGCCAAAAGTGATAGCCCCAGGTAAGAAAAGAAACAAACTCGACCATCTCTTTCTCTCACTTTCTCCATTGATCCCTTCTAACCAATAAAATACAAAACAAGGAAAAAAATGAATAAAAAATATAACACCGAAAAAAATTTGTGAGACATTTGAACTGGCTTCATTATAACAAAAAAAAAATTAAAAATCACAATCTCAATATGCAACCTAAAGCTCAAGGACAAAGGGACGCGAAGGATCGCAAAAACCCAAGTTAAGAAATGTGTAATATGAATATCAAATAGCCCCCACTAATCAAAGCAATCCTATTCTGAGGAAGTAAGGCAGGAATAAGAAATGGGTGGCTTTCTCTCACCTTGTGTTTGAGTGGAAGATGATGACAAAGAAAGTTGGGAAGTGGAGATGAAGGCAGAGGTGAGAGAAGGTTTTGGGTAAAGAGAGAAACGAGGGGATCTGGGTTTCAGCAGCCTGTAAATTGCGGACGCCATGGATAGAGAGAGGAAGTTATTGTCACGTGGTTTGCCTTTTATTGCTTATACATTTATTTTTTAGGGGCCCAGCTTTCAAGGCTTCCTGAAGTTCTATCCTCCCCTTATCTTACCGTCCATTTTCGATGGAGGGCTAAGATTGTCTTAATCACAATGTCACGTCTCTACATTATTTTATTTTTAATTTTTTTTATAATTTATTTTAACGCTAAATTATGGATATACATTCCTCTATTAAACTCGAACTAACAAAAAGTATAAAAAAATATCTTTTCAATAAAATAAGATGACTAAAATATCTTTGAAAGTTTCAAAAAATATTTTAATTATTATATTTTATCAAAAAATTATTTTTAACATTTTTTATAGGTGCCCCATGAGAAGATGGCACATACATATAATTTATATAAAAAAAAACTAAAAATAAAATACTTTAAGACGTCGGATCTAATATCAAACGGTGAATGGCTCTGTTGATCAAAATTGGATGGCTGGTTGGTAAAAGAATAATAGAACTTCTATATTGTAGAGAAAGTATATAAACATTTCCCTTTTTTTAGGTACTCTATGTGTGTAAAAGTGAAATAATGACCTATGCATTCAAACAAGCCCATAATATTGTCTTTTTAAAGTTTTGGAGAAGTATACAACGATACTATTTATTTTTTATATAAGGTAGTCGTAATCAATCTTGACTATTAGATGTGAAAATAGGTGGCTACATTTATTTTGTTGACAAATTTCAAAGTTCAAAATAAATTTTGTCGAACTTTGTGACACACCAAAGCCATCAGATTTTACGTTGGAGGGTTATAAGTAATTATAACCTCCTTGTACCAAAAATAAATGGTCTTATTGTATACAATCTTGAAAAAAAAAAATATACAATGAGACCATTTATCTTTAGTACAAAGTAGTCGCAATTAATCTTGACTATCTAATATGAAATTGAACGGTTGCATTTATTCCATAGACCACGCTCAAAGTTCAAAAAAAAAATTTTCTAACTTTATGACACATCCAAGCTATCAAATTTCATATCGGATAGTTATAAATAATTGTGACATCATTGTAATAAAGGTGGTTTCATTATATACAATCTCATTAAAAATCCTCCTCAAAATTTAAATATTATATTTATTCCCATTTTTATCTTTTTCTGTTTTTTTCAAACTTGCCAATACTTAGGATTCTATAAAATCTGAAGTTCTCCATTGAAGTTCTCAATGGCCTTCAACAAACGTGGACGCTTGTTTTATGACAATAAAACTTCAATTTTTTACAATTTGATGTTTAGATAATTTTGGAATTTGAAAATCCAAAGTTCTCTCTAGCCTCCTGCAAGCCGGTTGGCTTACTAGATGCATAGAGGACTTCAAATTTTTACAATCTGGTTTTGAGAACTTTAGTTTTTGAAGATCCAATGTAAGAAGGGGTCCAGGTTTTTTTATTATAAATGTTAAACTTCGGATTTTTAAGTTTCAAAGCAAGGTCGTTTTAAAAATTACTAAATTGCTAAAAATTACATTTTTCATGATTTAAATTTAAATGCCATTTTTGGGGCAAAATGATGCCAAAAGTGATCCCCATTTTTCAAGATTTTGCCCCTACCCACAATCTTGGAAATGGCAATACGTTCCCCAAAAATGGGCCATCGGCTATGGTGGTCATTCGGGGCTCATTTTGGGCCTTTCCGACAAAAAAATGCTGCGAAAGTGATGGTCTCAACGAGGAAATCGTTTTTACATATTACTTGATCCTCGAATCGAAGTATTGAGCTCTTAACAAAATCCAGCAAGAGATGGGAAATTTGTGATCTTAAATCTTAGATTTTGTCCATTCCTGAACGTTTTGGGTTCGATCTTTCTATCGTATAACCACAGGGAAGCCGCCATGATCATTTTTGTGACAAGAATGGCTCGATTTGGTGACCGGACCACCACTTTCCGAATTGGGGAAGTTTTCGGAATATGGATTCCGGTCGCCAAAAAATATCCTTTCTTGCAACCTCAAAATACAACATTTTTTATCATTTATCACATATGATGTTCACTTTGGATCGAAGTCCTCGACGTCACGGTCGCAAGGGACCCGTTTTCACGCGATCCAAGGTCGGGACTTTGTAATATGACCATTTGATTGAAGGGATCTCCTTCTTGCAAAAATACGCAATACATGAGTTTCCTTGGACAACTTCTCTCTATGATTTCCTCTGCCTCGGGTCCTGCCATATGTCAAAACGTAGGGTCAATGAGACGAAGAACCCTCTGAAATTTGGGCTCGATCCGACTTAAAATGGAGAAGCTATGGCTTTTGAAGGTGATCCCGAAATCATAAAACATAGTTTCCATAAATGCAAACTGGTTCACCGTGGGTGCACCAGAATAATGTGTAACCTACCCTTTTTTGTAAAGTTGGCCGCAGGATGGTCCAGAAGCGTCCGAATGAGCAGAAATTTGCTATCTGTGGGGTTTTTGGACCTTTTAAATCCAACGGGAGTAGTTTGGTGCTCATTTGAGGCCCCGGTGATAGGGTTGTAGTTATAAGATTCTTTGTTAGTATGTTAAGGGCCGAATTTGAAAACTGGTTTTGCATTTGATCCATCTTAACTTCGTCAGATCGCGATGAAACTTGGAAGGTGTTCTTAGGGAGTCAAGTGCTACCCCCACATGCTTTTTGAGACCCATCCATCCCCCTTCAAAAAATTGCCCCAGATTAGGATGTATTTTAACAGTGCTTCCGTAGTCCGTAGATATTTTGGTACCCACGGGTCTAGGTCGCAATTAGCTTCCTCTTTATTCACACCAAGGATACAAGGGTCGAAAAATACCATACAACAACTTGTCCCCCCGCGTATGTTGTGCTTCGAGAGAAGCGAGAAGGACAACATTCATAATCAAAATTGGTCCTTCGGCTTTCTTTTTTTCTTCTCAACCACTAACAATAACACAACCAACAAAGGAGGAATTGTGACAAGCTTCTTCCCTGGGGGATGACCGAGGGGTTTCGACAATTGAGGGCCTTGTTTAAGGGCTTGTAGATCCAAGGTCGTCAAGACTTTAGGGGGAGAAGAGACATGAGGTCCTGGTGGGGGCCTTGCTTAAGGGCTTTCTTCCCACTTCAGTAGTTCTTCTTTCTAGTTCCAACAACTGGGGGCCTACTTAAAGGCTTGTAGACCCAATTGGTCAGAATCAGCTTAGGGGCTTTCTTCCCAATTGGTCAGGCTTTCTTTTTAGTCTTCTGGTGGAGGCCTTGCTTAAGGGCTTTCTTCCCACTTCAAGAGGCGTTTGTGCTTCGGATAAATAGTCGAGGGCCCTTTAAATGGGGCGTATGAACTGCTACGCCAGGGTTTGGAGTTTGTTTGACAAGCGGGGTACCTGTTTGGGCCCCAGTCTACCGAATCCAATCAGGGGCTTTTTGTTGGCCATTCTGAAAAGTCTAAACCATTGATAAGTGGGGATTTTGACGAGACGGTCTCACTGGGGCTTGAAGCCCCCAGTCTCACCGGGTTTAATCAGGGGCTTTTTGTTGGTCATCTTGAAAATTTTAAACCATCGGCAATTGGGAACCTTAGGGAGATTGTTATCCTTGATGTCAGTGGAGGTATTGGTCAGTCAATGGCTTTTTTGGAGCATCTTTGGCTTGTCGGCACAACTTTATTGCTTCTTGAGAATGAGGTCTTTTAGCATGGGGCTCTGACTTGCCATCTTGTTGATTCTTCTAACTTTTGGGGTCTTCTCATGGATTGACCCAGGATGTTGAAATTTTCTTAAGCTCCTTTTTGGTTCCAGTAGTAGGGTACCCTCTTTTGGAGGGTGTTGACTCCCAAACTACGGGGTTTTCTTGTTTGGAATGCCGGCTGAAGCTGCCTGTGGAGGCGAGCGCTGCATCATCCCGCTTATTGCTTCAGATGCCCTTTTGGGTTTTCACTTGAATAGAGGGGAAGCGGCGCCGTAGAACGGTTTTCACCAGCTTCTTTCTTTTATCGGGCTCTTTTACCCGTGACCTCACGATTACGTCTGCCTTCTTTCCCTTTGTTTTTTAACTCGTGGTGCCCTTTTCGGGTTTTCACTATGCCCGGTTCTTTTTCTTTCAAAACACTCTTACTCATAGTTTCATGACCATGCTCGTCTGTGATTTTTACTCATGGTGCTCTTTTGGGTTTTCACTATGTCCGTTTTTCTTTAAAAAATTTTACCCATGGTTTCATGACCATGTCCGCTCATGTTTATTTATTACTACTATAATATATATAAATGGAACTGGTGTGGGTAATGGGTGACGATGGAGGTGGATGGTGGCCTTGAAGGTTGTATCTTTGGAGCTCTCAAAGACGCCTTTGACAGGGCTCGTTAGGGGTGAAGATGGGTAATCGAGGTGGTGGCGCTCATTCCGAGGCCCAAAACATGGTGAGGGTTTATTGGGGATTATGGGGGTCTGTAAAGGGTGAGGGAATAATGAAGTTGTATGTGGGCGATGGTCTCATGGTGACCATGAAGGGTGGAATGAACTGAGTTTTTGTGAGATGATTGGGGTGAGCATGGGATGATTCAACTCATTTCATTGAGGAATGGGGTGAGTTCTTATGCGAGATGAAGGGTCGGTAATGTAGGGTACGACTCACTCGGAAATGGGGTGCGGTGAGTTTTGTGATAGATGAATGGAGGGAGCATGGGACGGTTGTTACACAAGGAGAGATGTACATGTGTGAGAGGTGAGATGCATGCACGGGTGAGACTGGGCGTGCAAGTGCAAGTGCGAGGGTGCGAAGGCGGGAGAGAAAGAGGGTGTTTAATGTGTGCGCACATGGAGGGTTGCACGCGTGTATGAAAGATGGTGGCACACGTGGGGGAAAAGTGCGTGAGGAGGTGCGAAGAGAGCAAAAGGAGAGGGGAGAGATTTCGGTGTGCGTGAGTGGGGGGAGCACATGCGCGTGAGGGAGAGCCAGGGTTGCACACAGGTGGGGGAGAACCGTGCGCAATCTCACACGTGAAAAGGGTGAGAGCATGCGTGCAAGAA